TAATGATCGGGGCTCTCCAACGAAAGAGCACGGACCATAGCCGCAGAGAGATGCGATCTACGGTCTGTCAGCGAGGAGGCTCCCTACTTCATATTTGAATTTTTTGAAATGGAGATCCTGAACTATGAAAAGCAAAAGGAAAAGCTTCAAGAGCAAGAAGAAGGGTGGGACAAAGAAGAAGCCATTTTCAATGATCAAATAATGCAAAGTGTGGTAATAAGGGGAAAAAGGGGGAAAGGAGTTAAGTTTGAGATCAAAGGGAACAGCTAAAAAGAAAAATAGTCTGAAAAAGAAGTATAACAGCAAGGAGAAGCAGAAAAGAAAACTACAGAGGGGAAAATTAGAGAAAGAAGGGTATTAAAAAGGGGATGAGAAAAAGGGGGGAAAGATAGAAAGGGAAAGAACTTATGAGGGATAAAAACAGGAAATAAAGAAAAAGGGGACACGTACTAGGATTAAAGGTATTTGCTCAGCTAGAAAACACAGAGACAATGGTTAAATTAAGTTAAAAGTGAGGATTCTGCAAAGGTACAAAAGATAGTATTGTGACAGTAGAATACTGTAATGAGTTAGAAATGAAATAAGTAAATAATCTATGAGATAAAACTATATTGTTATATAATGGTATGTTTATTTATAATTAATGCAATAATAAAGAAGAGAGGGAAACATTGCAATTGTTTCTAAAGATTGATAAAATATTGAAAAGAAATGTGAAAGATTTATAAGGAAATTTATACCAGTTATTAGAATGAATTTGAATAATTATTTTGCTTATTAATAGTAAATAATTTATAAGATAAAACTGTATGACTATCCAATGGTATGCTTATTAACAGTTAAGTAATAATGAAGAAGGGAGGGAAACATTTCAATTGTTCTCAAAGATTGATAGATATTGAAAAGAAACATGAAAGATTTGCAAGGTTCATACCAGTACTAGAATGATTTTGAATAACTATTTTGTTTACTAATGTTTATATATGTATGTATGTATGTATGTATGTATGTATGTATGTATGTATATATGTATATATGTATATGTATATGTATGTATGTATGTATGTAGTTTTTGCTATGTTTTTGGAATTTTTCTTTTTACATTTTCAAGGGGAAGTACCAGCAGAGTCTTAGAAATTAGATATTAGAAATTTGAATGTTACAATTTTAGAATGCACAAATTCAATTTTTAATGATATTTCATATGATAATAACAATAAAATTGAAAGGTGTTGCACTTTGATTGGTAATCATAGGGGGAATTTTGCTTCTTAAGAATGTTGGAAGAGAACATATGAAATTGTAAACAAGACAGACGAAAGTATAAGTACAATGAATAAAAAGATATAGAAATTTAGGTAAAAGTAATACAATTGAATAAGAAGAAAATGAGATAACCATAAAAGAAAATTAAAAGAAGTAAAGGGAGAAATAGTGAGAAGTTGGAAAAAGAGTAATAAGATATGAAGTTGAATACATAAGATGAATATGCATATGAAATTGTGTCTGTATGGAAATGTGATAACCCGGAACGATGCTGTACTCAAATAAGATGTTTTATTTGTTTTGTTAAAACTCAATAAAACTATTTAAAAAAAAAAAAGAAACACCTACATTTGCTACAACTCTCTCTTCAGCAATTCAGCTGTTCGTCCCAATGCACGTGTTTGCAATAACTTTCCCCTTCCCTTTTTGCCTGTCCTTCTCTATCTTTCTCTGACTGTATACATTTCTTTAGCCCTTGTCAGATGTTCTTAAAATCATGTCCTTTGCCAACATTGCTCAGATGTTTCTCTTGCAGACATCTGTACATGAGTTGGGCTTGTGTGGAAGCCAACATATGTACAAATGGTCCCCCCTGCAGATATTTGCACATTCAGCTGCACATTCAAGATCTTTGAATGACATCAATGGGAAATAAAGGATAACTAAAATGCTCGTTTTCAAAACAAATGAAAATGTGCTTGCGTCATATCTGATATTTCATATAATTCAAGAAGCATGTAATTAATAGTATGAGGCAATTTGATAGAAGGAGCCATGTTCCGTTACTCTCTATTGAGATACCAAATCTTCCATTTTACATGTTTTACTATAATGGAGATGTTTTGACTTATCACCAGGGTACAGAACGTAAGTAAATCAAGTATCCCTGGATAATTAAGACATGTCTCATTCCATCCCACATTTCATTCTAAAGGCTGTAACATCTACAATACAGCATTCTTATAATGTCTACAATACATGTACAGGCATATTGTTGGCATCAACCAAGTTTGCCCAAGGTATATTTCTTTAGTCATACAACATATACTCACAGAAGCATTAAGTATCATTTCAGAATAATACAACTGATAACTTGTGACTTGTGCAATTTCTCATACCAGAATACTGCTTTCCCAACATAACTTTAAAATTAAAAACAAAAAACAAAAACAGAAGTGTCCAAAAGGACAGAGAAACATAAAATACTAGAAAGAAAACATCACAAAACCAAATGCAAGTGATACAACATGGCACAGTGAGAAACCACAACAAATAGAAGCCAATTTAGGTTATGACACTGACATGCCTTTTCAGTTCAGTGTTAGAAATAAGATGTCAAAGCAAGTTCATGAAAGGAGAAGTAAATCTGCTTTAATCTGAGAAGGAATCAGAAAAATGCAGCCAATGAAATGATTTTCATATCAAGTTTTCTATTCATGTATTCTCAAGAAGCATATAGCCAATTCTCTAGGACTGATATTTTTTCTTGGAATTTGAGATCAGGTACAAAACTTGAATGCAAGTTTCTTAAAAAATTCTTGGTAATTCTAACAAACAAACAAAACAGGTTCATGCAAGCCTTCCACTTACTTCCATTAACATTCTTTTCTTATAGCCCTCACCTACTACTCATGTACTTCTATTCATTCTGTTAGCTATGGCAAGCAATCTTCAGGGAGTTCTTCTCTCTTCCTTCCTCCTTTACCTGTATGTATGTACAGACATACTGTATGTATGTTGAGGAACCCTAGACATTTTCATCCCAGTTTTACTGATTACTCATGCAGTTGCTTCTTAATTTCAGTTTTGCACAAAGAGGACAAATTTCTGGCTGAACAGTCAAGTTATTCCTTATGACTCCAAATAACCTTGGCAACTTCTGGAAGAAATCTACATTATTTACAACTCTGAAATGTGTGTGAATGAATATGTGTATGAAGAAATTAGCAGAAGAAATTCAGAAATATTGTTGTTGAGAAAAGCTATTGAAAAAATTGTGAAAATAGTTATAAGATATGGATTAGAATGTATAAGGTGAATATGTATTGAGTTTATGTCTGTATGGAGAAGTGATAACCCGGGGTCATGCTGCTCTCAAAAAAAGACATTTTATTTGTATTTGTATGTTTTGTGAAAACCTAAATAAAACTTTATTAAAAAAAGAAATATTGTTGTTTGGGAATGAAGAAATATTTGACAGTAGCATGAGCCTTTAATTTCCTACCAGCTTTTCCATTATTATTAAAAGGAGGAAAATATTACTATGGAAGTTGCTGATTCACAAAGATAGAAAATCTAATTTGGCTTGAACATTCACAAAAAAAGTCTCCATTTATGTGCTTATAAAATTGATTTTTCATTAAATGTCAACATTTTATCTGAAAGAACTGACTTGAAGAGAAAGAATATATTTCTTCCAGAGAAAGAAATATATGAAATGGTTACTTATTGACTTCAAAAGTAGTAAAATGATATTTAATCTGTAAGAATCTTGTTCATAATGTTAACAGTTTGATTCTAGGATTTTTTTAATTGACCAAACATATTTCATATCTCATTATAATTATAATGATGCTACTCATTACAATAATAGAAGAATTACAGTGAAACCTCGAGTAATTTATGCACACTTCTCAGGAATGTTCACTTTTAATTTAAGAAAAAGCTAGCATATGACCAAAGGCAAAATGATATGATTATAATCTAGGGATCATTATTAAAATACCAGGGGACTAGAGAAAAGGCCATATAGTCCCCTCTTCACAAAATAGAAAATGGAAGCTCCAGGGACTACAGAGTAGTTAATCTGACACCCACATCTTGGAAGATTCTAGATAATTAACTATCAGATATTTAAGCACTTTGAAAAGACTATAGTGATTACTGAAATCAACGTGAATGTATGAACAGTGTGTCCATTAGATTTGGCAGAGAAGATATCATACTGCTATCATCAGAGGTGTGCATTTGGTGGATCCCATGTGACAGGTCTTGTCTCCTGTGGTGCACACTTTATGGAACTCATGGAAAAAAATAGATGAACCCCATTCCCTTCCATGTCTCGGAAGTCCTCCAAGACCTGGTTATGTTACCAGCCTGGCTTCAAGGAACTGGAGATATGTTTATATGGCTCCATTTGCCTAGGGTTTGTTTTATAATATTATCTTTTATGCCCATTCTATATTTTTATGCTGATTATTTTAGGTATTTGCTATTTCTTCGGATTATTGTACAGATTCACTTTTTTTGTGAGATGGGCAGCCGTAGAAATTTGATTAACAAGAACAAGTTTCATCAGATTAATTTCACAGATTGGGTAAATTTGTTAGAAGACTAACAAACTGCTATAGCTTCATTTGAACAAAATATTTGACAGAGTAACCATGATATTCTGATTAGCAAGCTAGCAAAATAGGGGCTGGATACCATGTCTACTACAGTACTTGGAACTACAACGGGATTAAAATATTCCAATAGTGTTCATGAATGAGTCCTCATCACATTGAAATGAGGTGTCAAGAGGGAATCACAAGATTTTGTTCCTGGCTCATTTCTTTCCCACATTTTTAATACTGAATTAGAGAAAGTGGTGGTGAAGATAGCTAATACTATACTGTAGAACAGAAATTTAAAAACTTTTTCATGTTATAGAGCCTGTTGATTAAACAAAACCCCAGAAACTCTGTACAATTTAGCTTTTTTAAATTAGTATTTCATTTTATTGTTTTACTTACTTTTTGCTTTAAGTGTTGTGGATGATTGTCTTCTTTAGTTGAAAGATACAGAGAGCGAATCTGATTTTCCACATCACTATAAAAGGTTGTTTCCCAGAACTGCTGGTTAGCCCATATTGGGTGGTCTTGGACACAGGTATACGCAAATTGATTGACTCCGGGAGCTAATTTCTGAAAGTCAAATAAATCAGCAGAATAATTCTACCCATCAAAAATTATAGCAAATTCAGTTTCCAAGAAGCAAACTTTGTTAGGACAGATGGTTTCAGCAATAATTGTAGCAATGCTTGTGCTTTGATAAAATCTTTGTGCATCTATCTTGTCTAATTTTTTTAAAATCTAAAAGGGAGGGCAAAACACTCATAAATTGATATGTTTCCAAATCTCTTACAAAATCCGTATTTTTCAACTTGAATTTCTAGTGCTATGATAGGCAACACAGACATGGCCTAAACTGGACTCCCATCCAATTTCCTACTTATACTGGCTCCAGAAAAAGCCATATCTGAAAGTCCTGTCTGAATTTAAGCAAACAGTGCATGCTTTATTAAATAAGATATCTGAAACTTTATATCATTGATACAGAGACCTTGGAGGCTTCCCTTATGCTACCCCTAAATATTTTAATGATATTTTTGTTTCTCAGAGTAAGTACTCTACTTGCGAAAGTCATGGAAGGGAAATTCAACAACAACTTTATCAAAAATAATTATGTGTATGATCAGAAATAGAGATTGTCACAAGTTTAATAGGTGCAATCTCCATATTGCCCAAAGTACAAAAAGTAGTTTTTATTAAAGTTTACTATATTATAAAATGCAAACAGAAACAAATATTAAAAGGTTAAAGAGGGAAGAGAACTGCGGAAAGAAGTGAAAAAAATAAGAAAAAAGTAGAGATTTCAGTGCAACAGAACAGAAAAAAACTACAATCTCAGATTTTTGGTTTACATTTCTAAATGTTTCAAGCCATTTGTATAACAATAAAATCATTCTAATAATAAAAATCTAAAATTAGACTTCCTTTTTTCAGTTTCAAGTACAAAATCCAGAAGTGTTTTCCAAATGGAAGCAAAACTAAATAAATTATTCTCTTTAATTAGAAGAATCAATTTTGCCATCTCCGCTAACTCCATCCATTCTTTCATTGCGATAATGAGTATGTGTCTTTCCATGGGAAAAGTATTGTTTGTTTATTTATCAAAATTCCATGCAATATGGAACAAAAATGAGTGCATTGAGACTTCCATGCTTTCCCTAGAGTTTCAATAATTCAGTATTTCTGAAATTATAATTCCTTAATGTACTATTAAATAATAGTATTGGCATTGCAAAAGGCAGTTTTACTTAGAAAAACTTAACATCCTGTGACTTGAAAACCATTGAACAATAATCTGACTATCCCAGGTCCTGAATAAAAATGCAAAATTTAGTCTAAATGTCTAACTGTGCAGCCAACCACAATAACAATTTCTACTCTAGAACTAGCTAATACTAATTCAGTGTTCAGGAATACTTACTAACAGAACTGTTGAAAATAATGTGCATATTTTTGCCACTCAGATTACAATAGTTCCATAAAAACTTAACAACGAAGAAAGAATGGAAATGCATTCTATGGAATACAGCTTACCATCAGTTCCATTTTCAAATGCTTTCATGAGAAATAATACTGGGTGGAGCCCATAATTTTCTTGTGGAATATATTCAATAGAAAATGAGCGATATTAGCTAATTCAAATTATGCACAACTTAACACTAAATTAAAATAAGAGTTGATATTTGCATTAAATATTTTTTTTCTAATATTTCTCTGTTTGCAGAAACCACTTTAAATTGCCAGGAGTTTTGGGGTTACAGCAGTATATGAGAAACAGACACACGCAAACCATTATTTCATTCACAAATTGCTATTATCATAGGCACATACACACATACACATACATACATCATGTCACAGTGTGACAGTCTGTGGAAATCTGTGCTTGGAAAGCAAGTATTTATCTATGTTTATTCTAAACCCAACTGAATTCAGTAGCCCTTATGCGCAGATTAGAATGTATTGGCTTCTGCAGTGCTAATAGATTTATAGTTACTATTTATTCAACACAAACTGGGATGGACACTAGGTATTTCCCCCTTTATATTTGCAAAAAGTCAATGTAATTTCCCAGAAATCAGAATCAATTGCATACAAAGCCTCCATCTACAAAGAAGACTTTCCCCTGCAAATACACACCCTTTACAAAAAATGGCAAGCAAAAGAGCTTGTCTCATCTGCTGATACAATCCCCTCTCATCTCCCACTTGTTTTCATTATTTGCAATTCCCAATTAATTCATTTTCAATAGATCCTCAATTCAAAGATATTTCAGGGGGAAGGGAGAATATATTTCATTTCAGGTAAATACATAGTGAACAACACCACACAGGGTGGGTTTGTTCTCACCAGCTCCACAATTTGGCTCCCTTCTTCAAAACCAGAGTGAACTTTAGACAAGGTTTCTGGGTAATAGCCATCAAAATACAAATTGTCAATGAATAAAGAATCTCCATGTTATGTTGGTGTATCTCTATAAAAATATACAAGTTATTTAATATTATTTTGTGTTACAATCAAACCTAATCTTCAAACTATTCTTTTTTCTGATTAAATAAATTTCACTAAATAAAACTGGGATGGGTGCCATTAAATAAAATTTAGATACAACCAGCAGAGGGCAATAGCTTTCTGTTGAAAAAGTATGTTATTTCTCTGTTAGGAAAACCTAATAAAATAGTCACTTTTCCTTCATCAATTGGGAAAATATGAGTTTGACTTCCACTCAGCGGGTTTGTAAAGAAGTCTTACATTGACCCTTCTAGATCCTATATAGGATAAATGAGACAAATTTTGTGCAAAATAATTAATGGTTATAAATTTGACATGAGGATTCAAAATGAAGACAAAATAACTTCAGCATTTCAATCTCCCAATCACTGACACTAGTGATTGTTTTGGGAACATGCTACTTTAATTCCACCACCCAGTACAAGATGCCAAACCCACATAACATGAAAAGATTTCAGGCAAGCTCAAAAGATCTCACCAAATGCAGTGAGTTTTTCACATGTTACAATTGTTAACTGATAAGGTGTTCATAATGTGCTGCATATGCTGGCTAGCCATTACTGTCACCTGCTCTTCAAGGAATCCAGAAGGAACTCCAGATTGTCTGCCTTGAGCACTGAGGGTCACTCCATCCAGCACCAAAGATGGCATAATCCTAGAACCAGAAGCCCCCCAAACCCAAAAACACTCCAGTTGAACTGGGGCCTGTTATTTTCCATCTAGACTTTCCAGGCTCAGAATAAACCTCATCCCATGGTGATGGATGAGCTCACCTAAGAAGCTCATGTAAATATTAAATAGGAGGGGGGAGAATACCGAACCTTGAAGCAACCCATATAGCATGGGCCGAGAGCGGGATGTTTCCTGCCCAACCACCACCAACTGGAATCACCCTCAGAGGAAGGAGGTGAACAAGCAACAACACTGTGCTGTCTTCCCTCAATTCTTGAGTTGATTGTGATTGATAGTATTGAAACCCAATGAGAGGTCAAATAGGACAAGGATGCATGCACAACCACCATCTCACTCTCACCAGAGATCATCCAAAACCATGATCAATGCCATTTCTGTCCCATACCAGGGCCTGAATCCTGTCTGAAATAGATCCTAATAATCCACTTCATCCAAGGTCCTCTGAAACGGCTGCAACCACTTTCTCAATCACCTTTTCCCCAAAGGGGAGTCAGATGCTGTACAAATGTCCAGTATAATGGAATCAGCAATTATTTCCTCAAGAGGGGACAAACCAAAGGCTCCTTAAAAGGAAAAGGAACAAGATCCTCAAACCAATTTGAGAAAATGTTCTGAAATCCTTGTATAACTGGTTTCTGTAGAATCTTTTAAATGGAGGGTGGGCTCCAACATGAATCCAAAAGCTTGGAAGACTAAACCTCTGGTCCCGGTGACGGACTCAGATTGGATCCTAACTATCCAACATTATCCTGGGACATACATATTTTCCTTCATTTGTGAGTGTCTGTAAGACTGGTGAGAAAAATATTGGCCAGTTCATACAAGAAAAGAGTGACTGGTAGAAGAAAGCACATAGTTCTACAGCTGGCTAAGAATCTTTTAACCAGATCAACTTGCAAATTCTGTCTTCTGCAGTTTTAGCCTCAGGAAGTTGTGGCTTCCAAGTATTCTTAAGGAAATGTAACCAAAAATAAGTTATCCATCTGATGACTACAGATGATTATAGATGACTGCTCAGACATACCCCAGACGTAAATAGCATATAGATTTTAAAAATATGAGCTTTATTCAAGAACAGACAGGGCTGCTTTGTCTTTGTGTGCTTTATCTCTTTTTTAAAAAATTCTGTTAAATGCTCTGATAAAATACAGCCACGGATTTATTTTAGAAAACAGCAGCAAGACTGTTCTCAGGTTGATTAAATCCTTCTGAATTATGGTGCAAACTGCAATTTTTAAAGAAACGGTGCATGGTATTTAATTTACTTTTCTATGAGAATGCTGTCTGTATGAGAATATATAACCAATCAAACTGCATATTCTAGCAAAAATAATGGGACCATAAATGTGTTAAAAGTATGATTTAGAGGGCAATCCTATGTGAGTTTACATATATGTTCTATATGTTTCACGGGATTTACTCTGTAATGTATGTAAAACTGCAACTGAAATCAATGTCCAGTTATTAAATTAACCTATTAGATATACCAGCAATCACAAGAAAGGTTTATTTTAACATGTTAAAAATCAGAGTATATTTAATTTAATGCATTCAAAACATTAAGCAGATGAGGAACACACTAAACTACGCTGTTCAAAAAAAATAAAGGGAACACTTAAACAATACAATGTAACTCCAAGTCAATCACACTTCTGTGAAATCAAACTATCCACTTAGGTAGCAACACTGATTGACAATAAATTTCACATGCTGTTGTGCAAATGGAATAGACAACAGGTGGAAAGCATAGGCAGTTAGCAAGACATCCCCAATAAAGGAGTGGTTCTGCAGGTGGTGACCACAGACCACTTCTCAGTTCTTATGCTTTCTGGATGATGGTTTGGTCACTTTTGAATGCTGGCGGTGCT